CCACAAAGTGGGAAGTGACGGAGACAGGATGTTTGTGTTACTGTGTTCCATGAAGTGGGACTATTGTCCTTTTTTCTTTCTCTTTGCTGTCTGATGCTAGAGAGAGAGAGGGAGCCATGTTGCAGTGCTCCATGTGTGTTTATATGTAAATAAAGTAGATTAGCCAAAATGCTGAGTTGCTGAGGTCTGTTACACAAGCTGCGCAAACTCTGCGGATCCCTAAGTGTGTTGGTGTCTGTTGGCATTGGTCACTGTGATGTTCGGGCTGAGGGAAGCTTTTGAAGCTCCTGAACGATCAACCAGGAGGGAGAGAACATGCCAGTTGGGCATGTGTCTCTGCCAGGGTCCTACTCGAGTGTAGGATGAGCTCCTGACAGGTAGGTTACATATGGTTTGAGAAACCAGCCTTCTTGCAGCGGCAACATAACATGACCCAAGCTGGGCATGGCATCTACAAAGGTTTGCTGATTTTACTGTATAAAACCTAAATCTTGGTGTAATTCTTGGGTCCTTCTAGGGTCCCTAGCAGACTTGAGATGGCTCCTGTATGCTTCTGATGTGGCCCTATGAATAATGCTCCCCCCAAATACTGTGTCACTGCAGTGGGAGAAACTCCCCCTGTAGAGTTTTTCTGAAGCTCATAAGAGGCAGAGTTTTCTTGCCCCTTCGGGAATGTGGTTACTACTTAAGGAGGTCCAGCCACTGCATGTTCCAAAGCCAGGCTGCTTTTGTATTATTCTCGCAGAGGTTCTCATTTCCCACATTCAAGGGACAGAAATTCTCCTGAAAAGTAACCGCACATTTAGAAGCATAGCTTTTGATTGGTTAGTAAATCTTTCAGTTTGCTCAAAGGTACTGGCAACCTTCCTCATAGCCCCTTCTCCTCCTGGATCTGTGTTCTGCGCTAACAAAGCTCTGGCAAAGCCCAAGGCTTTGCTAATTGCCAGTAACACATATTTGACAAGAGCTATTTAGACTCTGTATAAGTGGGATATTGGTCTGGGATTGCAGCCAAAGTAATCTTAGTAATAAAATACTATATTTCCTAGCAAAAAAGAGAGAGTGTAAGAAAGGGGAACAGGTGTAGTTCAGTTTCACAGACATCCACAGGATAAAACTGCACCTATCCTGAGGTAAGATTTTTTCAGAAGCAGACCAACAGACCAGTTTTTTTTAAAAAAATATAAAGTCCTTCAGGCCTCCTCCTTTCTTTAGAATGGCTGGCAAACCAAACGATTAGCTGAATAAAACAAAACCTTAATATATTATTCTTCATCTGGCTATACCCCTTCGGAAATGATCTCTCAAGATTCTCTATCCTATTTTTTGGAGTGAGAAACTGAGGGGACCACTCCACTGAATTTATTCAGGGGCCAGAGAATCCAACAGTTTGGGGGTTTTTTTGCAGGTGAGGCTCACCATTAGCAGTGATAGAACAGCTTTTTTGCTTTATTCGTCCTTCCAGAATGCCACCAATGTATCATAATTCCAGGGCATTATGAGGTAAAAATGATGAAGAATATTAGGAATTTTTTAAAAATACTCTCCAGCATCAAACATTCCCTGCCTACCAAAACCTAGCATGTTAGGTAGAAGGCCGGATTAACCTCATCTCACAAATATGCTAACTTTTCATGGGCAATGATTTTTTCAACATGGGGAAGCCTATAAACATTCAACCCCCCACTTCCATTCAGTCAGTAGAAGGATGTACCTATCATGACAACTCCAAACATAAAATTGGGCTCTGAGATATCTAAAATCAGTCACTTGATGGTCAACTTAATTTCCACTGGCCTGATTCTTACTATACTTAGATTCATTTAGGGAACTATGGGTGGAATTCAAAGTAACTCTAAGGAGATTGCTGCTTGCCTGATGGACTGACTCCCCTCTTTTGCCATACATGGTTCTGGGGTTCTCCTGACCCCCAATAGCTGATTTTGGGGTGAGGTGGGAGGTGAGAAAGCCCCTTTGTGCTAGTTGGATTCATTGTGCAGACTCCCATTAGCACAGCTTCATTGAATCTGGCCACTGGTGATTATATTCAGTTATGTTCCTTTTTTGCACTGTGTTGGAATAGCACTTGAATGTATTATTGAGGGACATTGTTTATATAAAAAATAAATATTCATAACCTTGGCATTTGCTATTCCTTCTATAAAGAGATCAATCTAGAGTTAACACAACAGTGTTGATTTTCTAAAATAGGATTGTTCTTAACAAATGGTTCATTTGTTCATATTCATGATTGGGAATAATTGAAATTCATGCTTTTACATGAAATTTTTTCACTGCTTTTAACAGCTGGAAAGCTTAGAGAAATTAATCAGGAAAGTTTTAAAATAAACTCTTTCCCCAATGTTTCATGAATCATCTATTCCTTTAAAAACTTACAAATTTAATTACATTCATTTTAACTCCAGTAGTTATCTGACATTATATGTGCTGAATAAGATAATCCTTGCCTTTAAAATAACTCAATATGATCCTTATTACAAACTAGCTTTCCCTCCACAATTATGGCTAAATCTATCAAAATGAATTGTATTGACAGGACTGCTAAAATGTGCTTAATTTGCTTTGTTCCCTCATCCAACATTAGTACAAAAATTATGTTCTGTTCTTGTCATTCCCTGTTTTGGACCATCTTTATTGGAAGCTTTCCTCACAATTCTGAAGTCATCAGGTTGCCAGATTTCATATTTTTATAGTGCAGCTTTTGGTCAAAAGTAAACTTTTTAGTGGCATAAAAATAGGTCCAGATTTTGTGATGGCATCATATCTCTATTTTGGGTTATGTTTGCTTAGATACTAAAATTCGTTTATACACCTCTATTTCAAGAAGACCAGAGTGGCATACAATGAAACGGCAACAATAAAATTTAACAGACAATATAAACCACAACACAGCAGCCAAATTATCTAGGACAGTGGTCCTCAAACTTCTTTTCCCCGTGGACCACTTGGAAATTGCTGAAGGGCTTGGTGGACCTGGACCAATTCACATCTTTTCCTGCCTATTGTAGCAACTATAATGTGCTGTACTAGATGTTAGATGATTTTTAATTGTAATTTTATTGCTTCTTTTATTTCTTAGATTGTATTTTATTGTCATTGCCATTTGAATTCCATGGAATTCAAATTGTAAGTGTTCTTCACAGTCATGCCACAGACCACCTAAATGGTTTGCATATCACAGTTTGGGAACCTCTGACCTAGGAGGACTCAAAAGCTAAAAAGAAAATGTTTAACTGCCCTTCTAAATATGGGCAGCGAGGGAGCCATACAAATCTCCAGGCAGGAGGGGTTCCAGAGCTGGGGGTTGCTGCAAAAAAGTCTCTATTGAACATTGTTACCTTATGTGTAGCTGAAGTTACAACAAGGAAGGCCTTTGTGGAAGATCTCGATTTTCAGGCAGGGTTTTCATGAAAGGAAGGAAACTGTTCTTCAGCTTATCTGGTCCCAAGTAATTTAGGGGTTTTTTGGTCAAACCAAGCACTTTAAATTTCACTTGGAAATGAATAGGCAGCCAATACAATTGATACAAAAGGGGAGTGGGTAACATGAGTCCTACCATAGCAAGATCAAAAGGTTCAAGAAAGGGAAACAATTAGTATGCCATTCTTAATTGTGCAAAGGTGCTTCTAACTACAGCTGAGGCCTAAAGCTCCAGGTTTAAGGATGGGTCCAAGATAGATCCCAAGCTATGTATTCAGAGGAAATGTACCCAATTTTCAACACAGGATGGAATCCAAACTGAAACCCTTCCTACTGACCAGAAGACCTAGCCTTGCTTCAGTTTGTTAGCCTTCATCTCTAGCCTATTACTGATATCAAGGCCTGGTTTAGAACATCTACAGCCTTCTGTGATTGTTAGAAAGAGAAAGATAGAGCTGAGTTTGGTACCCCAAGAATATTGACTTCTCCCAGCAGTTTTATGTAGATGTAAAACAATCATGGGGGACAGAAGAGAATCTTGAGGAACCCCACAAACCAAAGGACAAAAGTCCTCCAGCTTAACCTTCTAGAAATGTCTCTAAGGAAGGGTTTGAAAGAATGACCAGAGCAGTGGTCCAGATTGATATCATGGCCAAACATCACTGAGAAGGTTTTGTACTTCTGGAAACTCCAGAGTTCCCTAGCAAACTGATACATCCCTCTCATGTATGGAGGGTGGTGTTTTGGCAACAAAATAATTGGTACTTAGATTCCTTTAGAATATGCAAGGGGAACCCATAACAAATTGTTGCAGTGTGGAGTGCTACTGTTCAAGAAATGGAGGAAATATTGTTGGTAATTTAAGTCGTAAGAACATAAGATCCCCTTTGATTAGACCAAATGTCTTTCTAGTCAACATCCTGTTTCCCCACTGCGACCAGCCGGTTTGTTACCAATGGGAAGCCCACAAGCCATAGCTGTCAACTTTTCCCTTTCCTATTTGGAATAAGGGAATTTCCCTTAAAAAAGGGAAAACGTTGACAGCTATGCCCCAAGCATTGAATCTGGAATTAGAAATGCAGCAAGTCAATGTGGTCATTTATTTATTTTAAAAAGGGGGTTCAGTAGGTCAGCTTTCAAATGAGTAAAACAACAATATCGCCTTAAAAAAATATTTACTGGAAATCTTGCTAGAAAGACAGAAATATTCTGTAGCCCTCTAGGAATTAATGCTTGTGATACATAAGTACACATAAAGTGAAATGGAATTGCTGAGATTTATTTATTTTTATCAATATTATTCATATTACTCTTTGGGCAAAAAACAAAACTAAACTAAAACTGATTTATTATTATTATTATTATTATTATTATTATTAAAAACTGTTTTGAAAGCAGACACTTTTCCTATTAACTCCATGCCCCCCACAAAAGCTCTACAGGATGGGGGGAAAGTCTCTCTGGATTTGAAAGCTTTTGCCCATTACAGCCCTGAATGAACTTCTATGGTTGAAGGCTGAAACTCTGACAATAGTATTTTTAGAGTGGAAACTTTGACAGGCCCTTTCTATTAAAAGTGCCAGCACACTTTCATAGAATTCTTGTGCTTTCCCCAGCTTATGACATTAATGCACTATTGTCAAGCTCTTCAGATGTGAAGTCAAGTAGACAGGCTCTTGTCAGATGAGACTCTTCACTTGAGAGATCATCCAAGGACAAGGCATCCAGGTCCCTACCTGCCCAGATAAGATTTTTAATTTGAAAACCATACAGTGGTTCCTTACACAGAATGATCTAAAGGTCATCAGAAGCCAAGCACTTGATTCTTTCTCTCTCTCTCATTCCTGATGCAACTTTGGACTGGTCAATAGACTGATCATGTTGAAAACAGGGTTATGCAAGCAGACAAGGAAATACGGTGTCCATGTGTCAAGGGTCTTTCTTCACAAGTACCAGCTACAAAATCTGCAATGTAGTTAACAAATCATAGTAATTCTATCTATCTATCATCTATCTATCTATCTATCTATCTATCTATCTATCTATCTATCTATCATCTATCTATCTATCTATATCTATCATCTATCCTGTTTTAAACACTACTTTGGGATTTATGGGCCATGGAGAGCTATAAAGAGCCTTATTTATACTGAGTTGTTTATATTAATAACAGAACAAAAATATGAAACTAGATTTCCACATTCTGCCTCGATTTCAACATTGAATCTGTTATTGTATTCAGAAGCACTGTTACAATGTGGTATATAGCAAGACAGCTGTCCCAGGAGGCAGATTATGAGAGCCATTAAGGATGATGGGATGGGAGGCAGACAGGCAAGATTTAGGCAGCCATGCTGAGCAAGTTTACTGGGAGCCAGTCGCATTGAACCAAATGGAATGTATTTCCGAGTAAACCCTGCTTAGTAAACTACTGGGAAATTCTCCAGCATGAACCTCGTTGAAGTAAACAAGGAGCTGTGCAGCTCATTTGAACAAGGTTTATATATTCGAATTACCTGGTAGATTATGTCTCATGTTTGCAAGTGGAAGAACGGTACTCCATTTTGCTTTCATGCCTCAGACACGGAGAAGTATCTGGGCAACCTTGAATCGTGATTATAACATTTCTGGAGACTAGAGCATGGAGAAAACAAGATTTGCTTCAGGTGAGATCTATACTGTGCCTGGCTGACAGGGTAGCAGGAAGGAAGCTTGTATTTCCCCCCGCATTTCAATTCCCATTCACTAATCAAGTCCAGTATATCAAAAAGTAAGTCAAAACTTGTCTGCTTTGAAACAGGCTGTGAATCAGTCACAGATACATTTTTAAAGGCATTTAAACTAAGCTAAATCCGGAGTACTGGTGATTAATTTGTTCTTAAAAAGTTCTTGCCCTGAAACCTTTAACGGCTGCCATTTAAAACATTCTTGTGTCCAAAACATGCTTCATAATGCTTACAACTTATAATCAAGCTGACCTGGTGTACAAGCAATTAGTCAGTCAAAACCCTGGTTCATTTTCTGAATGCACACAGCTCTTCCTTTGCGGAGCAGTGTTCGGTTTGGATGAACAAATGTTTTGCCAAGGGCTGCCTAGAATTCAGAAATGACCTTAATTGAATATGCTGTAGGTGTGCCCAGATTCACAGCATTATTAATGGAATGATCCCCTCTGGTCCTCTTAGTCCTGTGACCTCAGCTTTAATCCATATTTCACTGAAGTTGCATATGCCAAAAAATTTGGCACATTTTCTCTGTGACCTGGCACTGATAAATCACAGGTCTTATATTGTCTCTGTTTCAGTTCTTGGGGAGATTTGGGAGAATCCATTATGAAAATGTTTTTCATGTGCACACTTCTTTGTCTTACACCGCAATCCCCTAAATGATAACCGGAGAGTAAATCAGCTGCCAGCAAGGGAAGATTTGCCTTCATCACAGTCTGAGCCAATTTCAATTGCTTCTGTAAAGTCTCTCTGAACTACAATGAATCCAGCCAATCATCTTTTCCCTCTGCCTTCCTTCTCTGTGAGGTCACAATGAAGCTTGACCAACAATGCTGCCAGGCAGCTTATATAACCACACTTGTTGGCGAAATATGTTCATTCCTCACTGAGCCCTTGAAGTATCTGGACAGCGTAAGGTAATTGTTTCTGGTTTTACATATACATATGTTAGGATTTTAGTGGGGTTAAGAAGACATGTTTGTCCTGATATTGCAGCTGCCTTTACATTGCCTTTTCTACAGTATTATTTCAGACATGATAATGCTAATAATTTAAGCTGTAATTTTATAGCCACTTATCTGGCAGAAGATCCCATTGAAAGTGCACTGTGTATCAGTTATTTGGACAAAGCCAGAAAAGATATAATTCAATTCAACATCATGTAAATATAAATGCATATCAGTATCTTGGGGGGAAAGTAGCATGTTTCAGCCAAAAGAACAATCCTGAAAAGTAGGTGGTTGGTTTGCCATGTGAATGTAAAATCTGAATTTTTCAAAATCATCACCACATTAGAATTTTCTGCCTTCCATTTGTCTTCTACATGATCAACCTTGTTGATCAAGATGTTGATCAAGACAACAAGATGTTCTCCTTGTTAGTGTGAGAGAAGCTGTAAAGTGAAACATAGCAGCGATTAAAAATACTCACAGCTGTAAAGACATAAGAAGAGCTGGCTGGATCAGACCAATGACCCATCTAGGCCAACAAACATCCTGTTTTCCCAGTGGACAACTGTGGGAAGCCTGGAAGCAGGACCTGAACTCAACAGCACTCCACCCACTTGTGATTCCCAATAGCTGCCATTCAGGGGCATTTCGCCTCTGACAGAGGCAGCTTGGCTCCCAAGTCCCGTGAATCTAGTTGGAAACATGGTGCTCTGTGACATGCTTATTTATTCCAAAATATTTATTTGCTGCCTTTGAAAGTAAACTCTTCCAAGGTGGTTTACAATAAGACACAGAAAAACAATTAAAAAACTCATAAAAATAGAATACCAATAAAACAGGGAGGCCACCCAAAATCACTAAAATAGAATCAACGCCAACAAAAATGGAGGCTAACAATTACTATATAAAAGAAACACCTTCAGGACAAAGTCCAACACTAAACACATCAGGCAAAGTCCACAAAACAAAGTGAGTCTTTACACCCAGACACATTCTCTCTCTCTCTCTCTCTCTCTCTCTCTCTCTCTCTCTCTCTCTCTCTCTCTCTCTCTCTCTCTGGTCTGAGCCTCCCTGCAAAACAAATTTCATTCAGAAGGCATTTGATTTCATGGCAATGTCACGCTGTCTGAAGAGCAAATTTTGAGTCATAGATTCGAAGCAAGAAACCATTGTCTCATATACACATCCTAAGGCTGAATGTTCCCTCCACTTGCCTATCCCTCTATTTTCTACCTTTTTTGTAATTCTTTTTTAAACTCAAGGTGTCTCCGACCCAAAATCTAGTGATATCCATACATTGTAAATATCTAATATATTGCTTTGTAAAGAAAGTTAGTGGTGTACGAAATGATTTGTTTAGAATACAGTGGCACCTCGGGTTACATACGCTTCAGGTTACATACACTTCAGGTTACATACTCTGCTATGAAGGGAAGTTCTCTTTCTGCAGTTCTCTTACTGCACATAACTGTGAAGTCTTACTATGAGAACTATTGCTTCTTTTCTCTTGCATTCTGGGAAGTCTCGCTCATAATCTTTTCTCTGCTTCTGCACATGAGTCTGAGAATGTTCTGAACAGTTCCCATTGAGTTCATGAAACAGTGTATCCTGACCTGTTCTTAATGCATTGCTGACCACATCTACGGAACGTGATTGTTGTATTCTTTCATGTTATGTTCTTTCAATATCAATCTTTAGTTATAATTTAATTAGGAGGTTTCATGCCTGTCTAGTTCCAGCTCCGATTCTCAGCCTTTGATCTATCAGTGATAAATGGCTATATGTAATTCCCGCCTTGTACCTATGTTAACCAATCAGCAACAAGATGCTTTGTGTTTGTATCAACCAATCAGCCACAAGCACACCTGTGGCAATGTTTGTAATATTCAATAAAAGAGAGTTCCCGGGGCTTGCCCCGGCAGACGCCTCTCATATGACACCTGCCACTCGTCTGTCGTGATTTCAACCCAACACTGCTAACCCAGAAATAGTGCTTCAGGTTAAGAACTTTGCTTCAGGATGAGAACAGAAATCGTGCTCCGGTGGCGCAGCGGCAGCAGGAGGCCCCATTAGCTAAAGTGGTGCTTCAGGTTAAGAACATTTTCAGGTTAGGTACGGACCTCCAGAATGAATTAAATACTTAACCCAAGGTACCACTGTACTTATATCATGCATTACAGCTCCCAGTGGCTGTAATTCAGTTGAGAGCTGCCCAGAGTGGCTGGGGAGACCCAGTTAGATGGGCGGGGTATTATTATTATTATTATTTCTAAGTAGCTTACAAAAGATACTCATAATTATTCAAGGTGGTTTCAGTGCAGGTTGAAAGAAAAGTATATGGTACAATTCACTTCATCTCATTCCTGGAACAACACCTCCGTTTTTCCTAATGACCGAAAGGGTGTGCCCGTTCATCCTTTTATATGGCACAAAAGTGCAAATATTCCTGTAGACCAGCCTTTCTTAACCTGTGGGTCCCCAGATGTTGTTGAACTACAACTCCCAAAACCCCTAGCTAGCAAGGCCAGAGAGCTGAGGGATGATGGGAGTTGTAGTCCAACAACATCTGGGGACCCACAGGTTGAGAACCGCTGCTGCAGACACATTATATGCAAATACAAATTCAAGACATGCACCCTATTTGTACATGGAAGCAGCTTGTGCATACCTGTGTCCCCTGCTTTCTCCATCAGAAACTGCATCCACAGAAATGAGCATTCACAAAAGAGGCATTCAGTGGAGGCCACATTAAACTTGGCAACATAAGAAGATGCCTTACACTGGTTCAGGGCATTGGTCCATCTAGTTCAGTATTGTCTGTTCTGACTGGCAGTGACTGTTTAAAGTTGTATACAAGTGTTTCTCCCAATCCTACCTGAATATCATGGGGATTTTATTTATTTATGTTTTGGCCGATTAATATTCGGCAGCATTTAAAAATGTGTCTGTGGGAAGGGGTGGGTGGGTTGTTTTGCTGTTCTGTTTTAATTACTTACTTGTTTCTAATCTTGTATTTTGTTCTGTGAACTGCCCAGAGATCTTGTGATGAAGGGCTGTATGTAAATCGAATAAATAAATAATAATAAACATATCTTGTTAAAAGTTTCACAGCGAATTGATGTGAAGAGAAAAGGAAAGGGAAAGAAGGAAAAATACATAGAAACAGAAGAAAGCAGAGGAAAACAACATCTAAATGACAATAAAATGTGATTAAGGTTACAAAACTATGTAGTATATATGCAAGCAGATGAGCTTATTATTTCCCTCACATATAGATCTATCCGTTGATCAAAGGGGGCCATATTTTTAACCTTCCAATGTATTAATATTGATCTTTTTGCAGATGGAAGGGCGCGAAGAAGCCATTTACAATGACCGATTGTTAAGTACCACATATTAGGTATATAATTTAAGATGATGTTATGAAATGTTTAATTATTTTCCCACAATAGTATTTATACATTCTAGTATTACCCTTCCCCCCAAATGCTAACACCAAACATAGCATAAACATAATGTCTCAAAGAAGCATTTTCCTTATTAAATCTCCAACAACGTTTTGTCATGCATAGACCATTTTTATAGAATAGCGATGAAGTCTAGTGCAGGAGTTTCTCCCAGTCCTTACCTGGCAATTATGGGGATTTAACCCAAAACCTTTTTGCATGCAGAGCAGATGTACTGCTACTGAAAAAGGGGACGTGGGTGGCTCTGTGGTCTAAACCGCTGAGCCTCTTAGGCTTGCTGATCGGAAGGTTGGTGGTCTGAATCCCTGCGATGGGGTGAGCTCCCATTGCTCTGTCCCAGCTCCTGCCAACTTAGCAGTTCAAAAGCAAACCAGCGCAAATAGATAAATAGGTACCACTCCGGTGGGAAGGTAAACAGTGTTTCCATGCGCTGCTCTGGTTCGCCAGAAGCGGCTTAGTCATGCTGGCCACATGACCCGGAAAACTGTCTGTGGACAAACACCGGCTCCCCCGGCCTGAAAGCAAGATGAGTGCTGCAACCCCATAGCCTTTGACTGGACTTAACTGTCCAGGGATCCTTTACCTTTACCTTACTGCTACTGAACTATGGCATTTTCCAAAAGGATGGAAGGAAGTGTACAATATAGATAGAGATGTGTATCTTCCCCAGCCACTGACTCTGGCTATGTGCACATGGTTGTGTGTGACAGATTGCTTGAACATATGAGTCAGACTAATAAACGATCCTTTAATGTGCAATTCACATTAAGGCTGATAGTACAGCCAGTAAGAGAACATCAAACGCATAATTGCAATCAAATGACACAATCCAGAGCTTTTTTAAAAAAAAAATTAAATATATTTTAAAAAAATAATTTTATAAGTTGTGTTTCTTTGTTTCTCAATTTTTTCTGTTTACATAGTTTTGTATGCATTGTGGTATTTTATGCATTGTGACTTGCAGTTATTTTTATTGATCACAGTTTAGAAATTATTTATTGTAATTGTTAAGAGTGAGTTTCTGTTTAATTATTTTTTGCCAAAGTTTCAAGAGTTAATTTTGTTGTGTTCTATTCTATTCTAATAGATTATTGAATATTGCTTAATTTGATAATAGCCATCTCATTATAAAGTTATATTTTAATAGGACTTTCTGTATTGGATCAGATTATTATAAGGCATGCTTTGTGTATAGTTTGCTGCTGTAAGCCACTTTGTGTATAGTAATAGAGAAAGGCAGCATACAAATTAAAATAGAAATGTAAAAAATGAAATAAAAGAGAGGCAAAGGTAAGCACTTTTAAACACCATCAGTTTAAATAGTTGGGGGGCGGGGGAAACGTGTTCTTAAATTGAACATGTCTTAAAATTACTTAACACAAGTTGGATCATCTCTGAGGTCCTTTGCTATGGAAAAACATAGCCAAGACTGCTAGGCAAATTTGGACATTAGCAAAAGGTGTACACAGGTTGCAGCACATCACAAATCAAACTGTCAGGGCATGAATGCAAGAGCAGACGTTATAAATTAAAAACTAAATTTGCACTTCAGAAGCCATCAAGAGAGGTCAGGACAAAAGAGGTTGGACCAATAAACCAAAACGCTTGTTGTACATGAAGGACGAAATGCAACATAAAAAATATGTTTTGTTGTTCTACAGAAGCAAATTAACTTTTAATTGAGATAACTAGACAAACGAGCCGAGTTGCTTATCATCAGACGTTGCACACTTGGTCATTGAGAATCTTGGCAAACAACAGGAAGAGTCTGAGTTGAAAACAAACCATGGCTAGCTCTTGCTTTATTGCACAGGTGGCAAATTAAATGAATCTGCCAGTCCAGTGTGGTGAGTCAGTGTGTCAAATTGATTAACTGGATTAGGGGTGGGGAAACTCTGGTCTGCCAGGGGTTCTACTTTGCCCGCTGCCCATGTCATTTCCCCCAAACTATATCCCCAACTGTCCATCAGCTAGACAATTGGCTGGAGGAACATGCACAACCCTTACCTTTGTGGATTTGGTGGCATTCCAGTTGCACAGAAGTAAGGTGTCTCTACAGTGTGAGAGCAAGTGTAGTGTAGTGGTTAAGAGCGGTAGACTCGTAATCTGGTGAACCGGGTTCGTTTCTCCGCTCCTCCACATGCAGCTGCTGGGTGACCTTGGGCTAGTCACCCACTTCTTTGAAGTCTCTCAGCTCCACTCACCTCACAGTGTTTGTTGTGGGGAAGGGAAAAGAGAATGTTAGCCGCTTTGAGACTCCTTCGGGTAGTGATAAAGCGGGATATCAAATCCAAACTACTCTTCTTCTTCTTCTTCTTCTTCTTCTTCTTCTTCTTCTTCTTCTTCTCCACCACACTCAGAGCCCTTCAAATTTCTATCGGGGGCAAGCAAGAGGCAGCATCAAAGTTCAGGAACACAACCCCAGCCTTGAGTAAGATGAGGACCACAGTCAGTTAGAGGCACGGCCTGGGGAGAAAAGATGTGGCCTGGCAACGGGAGATTCCTGAGGGTCAAATGAAGATGTGTGGAGGCCAGCATTTGGCCATCCAGAACTGAGGTTACCCAACCCCTGGTTTAAACCATATACATCTTCTTTCAGGGTGTTGGGGCAATTATTCAAAGTTCACATCCCATGTTTTGCCAGAAGGGTTTCCTTTGCTGTCCTTATAAGCAAGTCACATGATGATACAGTGCTTTAAAGATTAGAGGCATCAATTGTGTGTCAAGGCCCCGAGCCCTCCCCATTTGTTGAATAATAACACATGGACACAGTGGGCAAATAAAGGCCACAACATTATTGGTTACAGAATGGGAGTGGTATTGGCTTAGGCATTGGAATTGAACCCACTATATGAGACTCTTGCCTGCCATGCAGGTAGTCTCGTAATGGTCAACCACCAGTAGGGGGAGCCCTGTTGATGTACATCAACTAAGAGCTCCCCCAGGGTCCCTGATGGGGTCGTGGCATGGCCCTAGCCCCTACCTGGGCTTCGGACAAGATCCACACCCCCAGATCCCTTTAACAGACTACCCTTAAAGCGGAGGGACCTGCGATGGCCGCAACCTCTCCTCCCAAGAACCAGGTTTTACTAACGCCTAACTGCCAAATCTTATAAAAGTTGTGACAATTGCTACGAGGTAGGTGAAAACCAAATGGCTGATGCCAATTGGGAAAATTCCTATCAGGCCCCCTCAACGGGCGACGAGCTAAGGTCCATAGCAAGGCCAGAATGTTGAACAAATGAAAAAGGGCGGGAGATCCACGGAAGCAGGGACAGGAAGGGAGATCCCCTGGCCACGTGTCAGTTTAAATATGCTAAGCCATGCCCCCGAGCCAACTGGATTGGTTGCCAGGGGCCGTGACGTGGCCAGGACTCCTCTCATGACACAGGGGCTTAGCCACGCCCCCGCTTTGTATGGGGAGACTACGTGGCCTGCCCGCAACACCGTCCCACAAGGAACTGGAGCGGCCTTGTCTTAGGATTTGTAAAGCACAGGTCTTTAAATATGGTCCATATTTCAGTGTGCACAAGATGGTATGATTACCATCAGTGTCATTGGTGAGAGCAGATAAGCAACTAGGATTGGGTTGGCTGGTTGAAATCTTACTTTTTCTGCCATAAACTTACTAAGTGATGTTAGGTCAGCCCCATTCATGCATTACTTGCTCTCATGCTCCTCTTCAGATGTCTAAACTCAATGTGCAGAAGTCAATGACAGGACTTGCCCAGACACACAATGTTGGATGAAGCAGGTAGTGCAGTCCCAGCCTTCATGTTGAAGAGGAGCTAACTCTAAGCCTCAGCTTTCCTTCTGCAGCACAGGACTAAGAAGACCAATATTTGCAGCCAGGACACCTGGGGGAGTTGGGGAAGAGAACTCACAATCTTTGCTCATAATTTCTTCTTTGCTGCTGCTTCTTTCCCCTGAGAGCAGAGATGAAGAAGACTATTGTGAACCACCTTTTAAAAGAATTCAGCTCCAAAATCCCAGGCTCAATTGTGAGCCATGGCCCATCATGGGAAAGGGACATCAAAACTACGCAACAAATACAGACCTTCCTTACAGGTTTACTGTGATAGTGTATGTGAATACTGCATGTGTAGGATATAAAATCTGCAGTTGCAAGAGTTGCGAGTGAAAATCAGAAACCGACAAGCTCAGAGCTCAAACTCTTTTTTTTTTTAAATGATATTTATTAAGCATTTTAAAGTTACAGAAAAAACAAAGAAACAAAAAGAAAAAAAGGGAAAAGCAAACAACAGTCAAACAATAAAAATCAATAAAAATAAACAAAACCAAAAACAAAACACATCAAAATCCAAAAAACAAAAGTAAACCACAAACATTTAAAAACAGATCCAATATTCCCAAATCCTTAACTGTCATTGCCTTATTTCATCGACCTCCTCACACCTCCCTTTTTTGTATTCCAGTTATTAATTATAACAGCAAATCCTTCCCATTTTTCATAATATTCTGTCATTAAATTACCTTAATCTATTTTAACCTTATCTTACTATAAAAGACCCTAGAACTTAAAACTTAAATCTTATTTATACCAATTTCTCATAACCATAACATATTCTTGCATAGTTCTTTTAAACATTTCTGCTAAAGCCAAATAGTTTCATTCCAACATTTTTCTAATACTCATTAATTTTACAAAACAATCCTAAATATTTTTTTTTTTTAAACTTTCTTCCAATCTTCATCCAGCGTCTCTTCCTCCTGGTCCCGGGTTTTGTCAGTCCTTTCTGTCCCATCCATCTAGTTCATTAACCTGGTAACCTTATATCCGAGGCCCTTAAGTCTCTTCCATGTCCCTTCCGCAGATTTTCTTCATATTTATACCTGTACTTTACTTTGTCTCCTAGTCCTTTCACTCATGGAAACTCCAACTTGACAGTATTTTTGTCCCTTCTCGACTGATCAGCCCCTTTTCCATAATCCACACTGAACTCCATATGGTATTTAAAAGCATGTTTCAAAGTCCCTCCAAAGTTGAGGACCCCCACAACCCAAAACTCCTCACGGCCCATTGCCAGACTTGAAAAGTCAAGACATCCCTGCATAGGGGGGTCTATCCAGCCCCCCATCTCCAAGCCCAACAAAACTCTATCTCTCCAAATCTGGCTTTTTCCAAGTTCATTTGTCAAATCCAACAACTCATGTTCCTGCTGGGCCGCAGCTCCCTCCATCTCTGCCACCCGAGGTCCAGCAACAACCTCCTCCCTCATCTGATCTGTCAGAGCACACTCCTGAGTTGATTCCTGGGTGGGCTCTATATAGATACCCACTCCCTGTCCAAAATTTATAATCTCAACAGTCATCAAATCCGTCTTCTCATGTAACTGTTCCAATAAAGCACTTGTCTTACAGAAAGCACGCACTAGAGCCTCTGAATACATTGTTATGCAAGGTCAGAAGTCTGTTCCCACGATCTTAATCTGTTTGCAGCTGCAAAGCTCCCCAGTTCAAGTTTAATAACAGTTTCACAAGCTCCCTCTAGGGGAAGAACTTCTATTTGTATCAATCTCTTTTTTTTTTTTAACAACAGATCTAACAACAAAGTTTCCTTTTTCAGATATTTTGTCAGTATTTGTTCCTTTAAAATGCGAAAGAGAACAATGGAGTCACTATGTTTCTCTTCTTTTAACTATCTGTCAAAAACACTTGTCTATAGTCAATGAACTTCCTAAAAACGTCTGTCCTGACATCCCGCTCCCAGGTTCAAGACGGTGGAAAATTACTTTTCTTTACACTCTCTCCTGCAAGTTTAAACCATCCGGAAAAAATCCCCCCTCTTCTCCTGCTTCCGAAGGGGGTTCAGCAGTTTAAATGATGAAAGTTGATCCTTTACAAACGATTTCCTGAACTCTAGTTTGCCATGTCTTTGCTTTAATCTATCTACAAGAAACGGAAGGCTGACTTCCTGTTTAGACCTTCCCGCTTCAGTGCCCAATTAAGAAGAATTTCCTAATCCAATTTTCCCTTCTACTCACAGATCGTTGTTTAAAGTCCAATTGTCCAAATTTGATCTGCCACGGGTGGTTATTTTTGTAACCAAATTGTCCCAGGAAAAAGGTAGCGCTCTCCGGTAACGGCTGTGTGGCTTCGCTCCCCGGAAGAAGCAGTTGACTCTCAGCACCGCGCCACTAGCCCCTCTTTGCTCCGGAGCCTGTAGTTGGGTTCCTTTACGGATTGGGGGGGGCGCAAAAGGTGCCCGCCGAGTCCCATGGTCACAGGCTTCCTCCGCCTGTGATTTTTTGAAGGGTCCCCGCTTCGCCATAGCGGAACAGACCCGTTTTCTGTGGAGCCAGTCCCTCCGGATCAGAGGGAGTCCGCCATTACCGATGGCGCCACCCCGGAAGTCTTAACTACTACACCGCAGTAAGTATCAACAGTTAATACATGATCTGTGACTTTCTAGGTTTGGTTGTGAAATAGCTTGCAAATATGGAACAGATTTTACAGATGCAATTTGAGTTCTTACACTGTTTTAGCACAAACTGCCTGAATACACACACACACACACCCCTCCACGTGTGGAAGCCAATTTCTGCACACAGGACCAAGTTCTGTGGATCATGGCCATGACCTTCAAATCACTTACTCTTATTTGCAATATGAAATGTGTTATAATGAAAAATGCAAATTACATTCCTGTTTACAAGACAATATTAACCTTTCTAACAAAAATCTTTTAATTTATGATAATTGTACACTCTTATTTCTGAATTTATTCCAGGAGAAAGTGTCTAATTAATATGCTGCAGTTCAATATTTGACTTCTGTCACCTCTCTGGAACATGTAATTAGAAAGTCTCAAACTATCTAATTATAGTCACTGCATTGATCAGTGTTGTGTAATCCACATCTCTATTTGTAATGAAAATAACTCTTTAGAAAGGAAAAGAAAGGGGGAAAAAGTTATCCCCCCAGAAAAAAGGAAAATAACATTCTAACATAGAGAAAGTTGCTATGAAGCTCTGGCTTCATGCATTGCCTTCCCATTCAGTAAATACTAGACTAAATATGTATTTATAGAGAATTAGGAAACAGCAGTCACAAACCAAAGATAAACTGTAACGAGTGATGGCCTTTTCTCTAGAACCTGAGAGGCCAGCAGTGCTACTTATTTCAAATTTCCCAGGGACAAGAGGTCATGTGAGCTGAGCATTGCTTTGACAAATACGAACAGGAACTGTTCTCCTTATTTTTTATTCTCTATTACAAAAATATATCCTCTTGTATATTAATAAAACAGGATGGATAAAAAGTTAAAGTAAGTAACAATGGATAAAGTCAAATGATAATTAATTGGTTAATTTCCCTTTCCACAGTTCCAATCAGTCTGCAAGCAAGGTCACTGAGGTGATGCTGTCTCCAGCAGAGGCTACAAGGTATTACCACCAAATATATAATCTCTCAAAACATATCCTTGGAAATGGAACCCTTAAAAAAAAAAGTTTCACTGGTCACTGGATACAAAATGGTTCCCTCTGGCTTTCTTTGAAGACTTATTTTCTCTGTTAAATGATGAAATACAAGGTGGGCAAACATCACAAATGGTCTCTGCTGAAGAATTGCAAAGAAAAGGGAAAAGGAGGTAGGCATTGCTGCTCTCTGCATAGTCCTCTGTGGTCAGCAATGAAACTAGTCAAGCAAATACAATTGGCTTGCATCGCTGCTACAAACAATATACAATTAATGACTCTCTTTTTTTACATTGTTTTAACATTTCCTTTACATTGAAATGTATCTAAATTAGGTAAGCTATGTAAATAGTTGAGCGAGTTACTTTAAATAGCACACAGTGAGACAAAGAACATAATAATTGAAGTTCGGAAACCGAAATGCAGTGGAATGGAAACAGTCCTGATTATGACAAATACAAGCCAGAATGAAAATCACTGCCTTCGTACATCCCTAGGCCACAACAGGACCTTCAGCACTGATGAACTGCTGCTTTTCCACAGTCAACTGTAAACGGAATTAAAATGGAGGTTCCAGAAAGGCACTTAAAATAGCACTATTCTGTCCGGCAACACATAGAATCGTAGATTTGCTGGAAGAGTCCACAAGGCTTATCTAGTTCAACCCCCACCAAGATCCAAGTAAGTCCTAGCTCCTTCCTAATACTAAGAAAAAGCTGCTTTCTTACCTGCTCAGCTTGGCCCGAATGATGTTGAATTACTCCTTTATTGCCCCTTATATAGCCAGGTTTGGTCTCCCATCTTCAGTTTTAAGAAACAACACTATTTTGTTATAACACGAAGAAAAGATAAAACAAATATTGGAAAGAAATTAGTAATTTAACATCACAGCCATAAAAGACTTGATAGTGTTTGGACTTCCTACAGGTCTTTAAAACGAAATCCACAGGAGAATACAACGGAAAACACCAGACTGGAATTCTCTGATGATGACATTGCAGGAACAGCCTGTAAAAAGTGGAGGAAATGGATAGCAATTCCAGAACAGTGTGGAAGCAGGAAATACCCTGGATATTTTGGGGGAGAAATAAAATGGTGGCTACCATCTCCGTCTCCAAAGGTGGTGAACAACAAAATGAAAAGAAAAGAAACGTAACAAGAACAAATGAATAACAAAATGAATGTGATTTTAATGAACAAATGACAAAATAAAAGCAGTCCTTAATAACAAAAAATAAATGAATGCAGAAAGAACAAAAATCTTACACACCTTAGAACACCTGAGAATTGCAGAATTGCTGTGGCAAGAGCAAGATTTGGGTGCACAAACTAGATTTGACTTGGCTCCTTAAAGTTTTCAATATAGTTTAGTGGCAAAGTAGTCTGTTTACACTGCAAGAGACAAAATAATAATAAACAAATGGTTGAACAACATCATCACCCAATGACCCTTCTAAGCTCCCCATGGTCAATATGGTTCATCAGAGGACTCTGGCAAGTGAACAAGGAGAAACCAGGGAGAGGGATTTATCCTTGAATGGCACAAGGGCAAACAAATGTCCCTTGCTTTCCCTCTGCAGTGATAAGAGGAAGCAGGGTAGACTTCTACTCTGCAGCTATTAATACAGTGCAATCATGGCCAACTGAGCCTTTCAACACAGTGTTATTTCCTGATCAAACCCGACAGTGTAATGCAAGCAGAGAACCTGAGTACGCTGGCTTCAGGGAGAATCTCTCATCCTACACTGCAGAATCAATCAGCTTCATGGCGCAGGAGCTTATTCAAATGGAACTCTCTTAAACTACACCGAGAACTATTGTTATGCATGCCCCACTTCCCAGAGCATAGACAAGTTCCAGGAGCAGCAGCTTCTTGGGCTTCATCCCCTTGAGAAGAAGAAATCCATGGATACTCTCAGTGCAATCCTATACTGGTATACAGTGGTACCTCGGGTTAAGAACTTAATTCATTCTGGAGGTCTGTTCTTAACCTGAAACCATTCTTAACCTGAAGCACCACTTTAGCTAATGGGGCCTCCCGCTGCTGCCAGAGCATGATTTCTGTTCTCATCCTGAAGCAAAGTTCTTAACCCGAGGTACTACTTCTGGGTTAGCGGAGTCTGTAACCTGAAGCGTATGTAACCTGAAGCGTCTGTAACCCGAGGTACCACCAAGGTACCAGAAGTTAGGCCCAATGAGTTGAATGGGGTTTACTCCCGGTAAGTGGCTAGAAGACTGCAATTCTAAGCTGCTTAATATTTTAGTTTCATTGCAGATTTACAGGTTGGGCACAGGTGATGGCAGGCAGTCTAGCGATTCAACCAACAGCAAATGCACTGCCCTCTGGGGAAGAGGGAATCCAGATGCTTAAAGCTGCCTTAGGTGGCAGAGGAATGGTTTTGCCGTATACTCCCTCTTTCCCCCAAGTTCTGATGGATTGCATATTTCTGGAAATTGCATGCTATTTCTAAGCCATTGGCTCCCATGAAGACACATTTCCCTCACTGCTGAGGCATTAGCCAACAATTTCCTTATCACAGTAGTAGTAGTAGTAGTAATTATTTTATTTCTACCCCAACACATATAAAAACATAATAAAACATCAAACATTAAAAACGTCCAAATACAGGGCTGCCTTCAGTTGTCTTCTAAAAGGTGTGTAGTTCTTTATCTCCTTGGCATCTGATGGGAAGGTGTTGTACAAGGGGGGTGCCACTACCGAGAAGGCCCTCTGCCTGGTTCCCTGTAAATTCACTCCTTGTTGTGAGGGAACTGCCAGAAGGCCCTTGGAGCTGGACCTCAGCATCCAGGCTGAACAATTGGGGTGGAAATGCTCCTTCAGGCCAAAGCCATTTAGGGCTTTAAAGGTCAGCCCCAACACTTTGAATTGTGCTCGGAAACGTACTGGGAGCTAGTGTAGATGCTTTAGGAGCAGAGCTATATGGTTCCGGCAGCCAGTCCCTATCACCAGTCTAGCTGCTGCGTTCTGTATTAGTTGTATTTTCTGAGTCATCCGAAGGCATGGCCAGAGCTGGCTGGTTGCTTCAAATAATAACAGTATTAACTGCCCTGAAATCCCTGTCTATATCTTTAGGTTTATGTATGCTTCCATGTAGACTGGACCAAGTTAAGAGTTCTGTGTGCTGGTGACAAGCTGCATAATTGACAGAAGGCGGAAACCAGAAAAAATGTATCTTAAAGGTATGTTATAGGTACGGAGGGAAGGAGGGTGAGAGAGTAAGAGCAAGGAGAAAATAGACATTTGGAGTTCAAAAAAGGATCTCAACTTTGATCTAAGAAGATAAGATGAGGCTTGTTGGATCAGACCAAAGGCTTATCTAGTCAAGGAAGCTGTTTCTCACACAGGTCAACCAGATGCCAGATCTATGAAGCCATTCATGCTCCACACTACCAATGTGTTTGTCTGTTAGCCACAATGGTGCAACGCCTGTGCTTCCTGCAATAAACATGTAATAGGGGGAGAGCAGGACCGTCTTAAGCATATGCGGCGCCAGGGTGCAAAGATCCGCCCGGCACCCCCCCCAGCTTGCCCAGAGTTGTTGACCTTTTTCCTGGCTGGCCGCCTCAACAGCAACAGAGGAGCCCGAGGCGGCAGTGGCAGCAGAGCAAGACTGGGGCTGGGTGCCTGGGGGTGGGTGGGCAAGCAGAACCCAGCACAACAACAGTCGAGCCTGAGGCTCATGTGAGCAGTGCGCCAATCCCAAGTGCGCAGAAGGGCAGAGCTTGCTGGCTGCCTCAGCGCCTCACTCGCCCGCAGCAGAAGAGCTGCGGTGCCCCGATGGGCTCTGCTCTGCTTGGCAGCAGCTGTTGGCTCTTCCCAATCCCCGGACTCCAAATCTTGGCCCCGGACTCTCGGCCTGGCGCCCCTGAGAGCCCGGCACCCCGCACCACTAGCGCCTATGGGTAAGACAGCCCTGAGGAAGAGTTGATATCATTTCCACTAGGGAATTAGAGCCATCCATGGGCAGGAAGGATATGTCTGTACAGTGGTACCTCGGGTTAAGAACTTAATTCGTTCTGGAGGTCTGTTCTTAACTTGAAACTGTTCTTAACCTGAAGCACCACTTTAGCTAATGGGGCCTCCCACTGCCACTGCACGATTTATGTTCTCACCCTGAAGCAAAGTTCTTAACCTGAGGTACTATTTCTGGGTTAGCGGAGTCTGTAACCTGAAGCGTCTGTAACCCGAGGTACCACTGTATATCTGAGACAAGCTGTTCCTTTTCTCTCCTCTCCCTGCCACCCCATCTTCTCTCTTTTTCTGTCACCCCTTCTCTTTTTTTCTCTTTCTGTGAGTCACACAGGATGAGTCCGGGAGCTGCAGATTTCCATCCACTATCCTACACAGCAACAAATACACTTCTTCTTCTTTGGCGATCACTCATAGCCAAGTAAGATTGTCTTCCATGAACACGGTCTTAACAGTGAGTCCGTAAGTAACTGCGGAGGCCAGTTCTGGATCCACACATCCTTCCACATTGGGGACATAGGTTTCTGGGCAGGAGGGTTTGCCAAATGTGCCTTCCTCTTAGCATGTTTCTCCCTTTCGTCCTGAGTTCCAGCATCTTCAAAGGCTGTTCTCCAATTGGAACGCTTGCAGGCCAGTGTTTCCCAGTTGTCTGTGCTTATGCTACATTTTTTAAGATTTGTCTTCAAATCTCTTTCATTGACCACCAGCATTATGCTTTCCACTTTTAAGTTCGGAATAGAGTAGTTGCTTTGGAAGATGATAATCAGGCATGTTGAAGAATCATTGCTTTGACACTGGTGATCTTTGCTTCTTCCGGTGCACTGGCATTAGTTCGCCTGTCTTCCCAAGTGAAGTGTAAATTTTTTAGGAGACACCATTGATGGAATCTTTTGAGAAATTGAAGACGGCGTTCGTAAGTGGTCTGTGTTTCAGAAGCATACAGTAAGGTTGGTAGTACAATAGCTTTGTAAACAAGCATTTTGATTTTCTTGTGAATGTCCTGGTCCTCAAACACTCTGCACTTCAATCGGGAGAAAGCTGCACCTGCAGAGCTCAGGTGATGCTGCATTTCAGCATCAATGTCAGCCCTTCTGGAAAGATAACTGCCCAGGTAGGAGAAGTGATTGGCACTTTCCAACATCACACCATTGAGTTGGATTTGTGGCGCTGCAGAGTGGTTTTTTGTGCTTGTTGGTGCAACACTTTGGTTTGATTTCCAACCAGCAACCAGCAACACACACAATGGAGACCCTAACAACAACCTGTTTATATCTGTCCATTGTGCATTTCCGCTTGTGTGTGTTTCCTGTTGGAAACAGGGGCGCAGTTGCAGAAAACACATAATTGCTGCGTGCAATTTGAAGTGGGTTTCAGAAGACAGAAAATCCAGCTTGGTTGCTAATGTAGAGAGACAGTTGGCTATATACCTAGGAGTTAAATAAGCCATTGGTATTTGAAAAGCCTTGAGTGTATAAACTGGATCCTTTAGATGGAGAATGAATGACACCCTATTTAGAGATGAAGAGATTTATAAGAAGGCCCAAAAAACACTGAAAGATTACTTTGAGATAAATTTGAGAACAGAAGTGGAAAAAAGAATAATCTGGGACGCAAGTAAGGCCGTGATGCGAGGTTTCCTAATACAACAGAACTCCATAAAAAAAGGAAAAATCAAAATGAAAGGAAAGAAAAAATTCTGGAAAAAATAAAAGAAGGTGAAAAGAAATTGAGGTCTAAACCAAAGTCCCATGAGATTCTGAGAGAAATAAAGCACTATCAGGTGCAATATATGGAATTGATGAATCAAGAGATAGAATGGAAAATAAAGCAAATGAGACAAAAGACATTTGAATCAGCAGATAAATGTGGGAAATTTCTGTCATGGCAATTGAAAAAGAGGCAAAAACTGAACACTGTGACAAGTTTAGAAGTGGATGGAAAGATTATCCACAAACCAAACGAGATAAGTAATTGTTTTCAAAGTTACTTCAGGAAATTATATGCACAAGGGCCAGTCAACGAACAGGAAATAGAAGAATTTGTTAAGAAACATGGATTACCAAAAATTTCAGAGCAAAGCAGAAGGATTTTGAATGAGAAAATAACAGGACAAGAAATAGAGGGTGCCATTCAGAAGATGCAATTGGGAAAATCTCCAGGACCAGATGGTTTGACCGCCAGATATTATAAAGCGTTGAAGGAATGGTTAGTACAACCACTGAAGGAAGTATGTAATGAAATTTTGGAGGGGAAAAAGGCACCAGAGTCGTGGAAAGAAGCCTTTATTTCACTTATACCGAAAACTGAGACTGAAAAGAACCAGGTTAAAAACTACCGCCCTATATCATTACTCAATGTGGATTACAAAATTTTTGCAGACATTATGGCAAAAAGACTGAAGAGAGTGTTGGTAGGGAGATTCATAAGGACCAAACTGGCTTTCTTCCAGGGAGACATATGTCGGACAATGTGAGGAACATTATAGACATTTTGGAACTGTTAGAAGTGGACATCAATAGGAAGGCTGTTTTAATTTTTGTGGACGCGGAGAAAGCCTTTGATAATATTGGTTGGAGCTTTATGAAGAAGAATCTCCAAGGGATGGGGGTAGGTCAAGGGTTTGAAAACGGTATAGGTGCAATATATTCTAAACAAAAGCAAAGTTAATTGTAAACAATGTGGTTACGGAAGAAATATCTATAGAAAAAGGTACACGACAGGGGTGCCCAATATCCCCTTTACTTTTTATATTAGTCCTGGAGGTTTTGTTAAACATGATTAGAGGAGACCAGTTGGTTAAAGGAGTACAAGTCGGAGCTAGACATTACAAGCTAAGGGCATTTGCAGATGACCTAGTACTGACCTTGCAACAGCCAGATACTAGTACTAAAAGAGTATTAGAACTAATTGAGATATTTGGTCAAGTAGCAGGATTTAAACTGAACAAACAGAAAACGAAAGTGTTGGACAAAAATTTAACATTGGCTGAAAAAGAGAAGTTTCAGAATGAAACAGGTTTAGTGATAACGAAAAAGTAAAGTATCTGGGGGTAAACTTAACATCTAAGAATGTGAATTTATTTAAGGACAATTATGACAAATGTTGGACAGAGGTAAAGAAAGATCTAGAAATATGGTCAAGGTTGAAACTCTCTTTGTTAGGTCGAATTGCTGTTATCAAGATGAATGTATTGCCTAGAATGTTGTTTTTATTCCAGACATTGCAGATTTTGGACAAGATGGACTGTTTCAAGAAGTGGCAGAAAGATATATCTAAATTTGTCTGGCAGGGCAAAAAGCCCAGAATAAAATTTAAGATTCTAACTGATGCAAAAGATAGAGGGGGTTTGCCCTGCCGGACTTAAGACTCTACTATGAATCGGCGGCTTTCTGCTGGTTGAAACATTGGCTACTTCTTGAGAATACAGACATTTTGGATCTAGAAGGGTTTGACAATAGATTTGGCTGGCATGCATATATATGGTATGATAAGGTAAAACTGCATAAAGGTTTCAAAAACCATATTGTTAGGAAAGCATTATATAATGTTTGGATGCGGTATAAAGATTTATTGGAAAGTAAAACTCCCAGGTGGTTGTCACCAATGGAAGCTAAAGAGGTGAAAAAACTTAATATGGAGTCTAAATGGCCAAAATATTGTGAAATTTTAGAACAAGATGGGGAAAAAGTTAAATTACAGAGTTATGAGAAATTAAAGTCCAAAGTGCGAGATTGGTTGCACTACCTTCAGATAAACGAGACATTTAAACAGGACAGGAAAATAGGTTTCCAGATGGAGAGGTCAAAATTAGAAACAGAACTGTTAGAACCCAATACTAAGAATCTGTCGAGAATGTATAATCTGCTGTTGAAATGGAACACACAGGATGAAACGGTGAAATCAGCTATGATAAAATGGGCACAAGATATTGGTCATAACATTATGTTTGCTGACTGGGAACAGCTGTGGACCACCGGTACTAAATTTACGGCATGTAATGCCTTAAGAGAAAACATTATGAAAATGATGTATAGGTGGTACATGACCCCAGTCAAGCTTGCAAAAATTTATCATCTGCCCAATAACAAATGTTGGAAATGTAATGAGACTGAAGGTACTTTTATCACCTTTGGTGGACCTGCCCGAGGATAAAAGCTTTTTGGGAAATGATCTATAATGAAATTAAGAAGGTTCTTAAATGGACCTTCCCTAAAAAACCTGAGGCTTTTCTCCTGGGCATTGTCGGCCAATTGGTGAGAAGGAAGGACAGGACGTTTTTTATGTATGCGACCACAGCAGCAAGGATTCTTCTAGCAAAGTATTGGAAGACACAACAACTACCCACACTGGAAGAATGGCAGACGAAGGTGATCGACTACATGGGACTGGCGGAGTTGACTGGCAGAATCCGTGACCAGGGGAAAGAGACAGTGGAAGAAGATTGGAAGAAATTCAAAGTTTATCTTAGAACTTGTTGTAAAATTCAGGAATGTTAAAATGTCAAGGGGTTGGGAAACAGAGAATTGCAGCTGTAATTAACAATATTAGAAGAACTTAAAAGAAATTGAATTGAATAATTAGTCGACTGAGGAGTTGCTGAAGAAATATAAAACAAGGATGCAGAAAAGGGGAGGTATGGGGAAGTCCGGAAAGTAAGGTTTATGAAAAAATGGTTATGAAATTATACATGTTTATATGTTTGTATGTCGGTGTATTGTGTATTGTTTGTTTTTTTTTTATTTTGTGTTTGGAAAATTAATAAAAATTTATTCAAAAAAAAAAAAAATGAAAAGCCTTGAGTGTATAATTCATTTCAGAATGAATTCCAGCATATATGGCAGGAAGCCTGTTCGGAGACTGTTCACAGTATGTCTGTCCTTAAGCAGCATTATCAGTCTTTCATTTTTATGAGCTATACAAATTTACAGAGTTCAAACTTCTATCTTTTACGAGCGGAATAGAGTAGGAGATGAGCCATGCTGCACGACACCTTCCTAAGCAGGAAGATTATGATGGATGAGCAGAACACAATACCTCCTAGTAAAACAGTGAAATGGCAAAATGGCTCTCAAGAGTCCTTTTCTAGGATTCCAAAGAAACTATTTCATGAAACCTGGAGGGTGGGGAGGAGGTAGAAAGGAAAGACGAATGAAAAATTCAGATGATGGGGGCAAATTCAAACCAGCAGTAGTGTAGTAGATGAATTGCCGTGAGGTGACTCTTTCCTTCAATCCTGAGATGGAATAATGGTCTTGAGGAAGTACTTTGCTGCAGGGAAGCGACTAATATCTATGTTTTTGATTGCCACAACCCACATGGCATGTTTGCAAGACTGGATATATGTCCAGAATAAAACGCCAAGTTTCCAAGCAGTTATAAAGGACACGTGTGGACATTGGTGGGAGTGTACAGGAGATGGTGCAACTAAATCGATGGCACAGAATTGGGAAGGCTCAACGTTATGAGCAATAAATAGGTGTGTCGGCACTTTGATGAGGAACAAGGAAAAGCCACAGGGAGGGAGAGCAATCGTAACAGCCTGGCTCCCAGTGAAATAGCAAGCCAGCGAATTATTTGAATTGGAAACAACGTACACATGTGCTGCATTGTCAGCTGATGTGAAAAATTAGCCACAGTTTTGGAACCAGTGTGGTATAGTGGTTAGACTGTCAGGCTAAGATATGGGAGACCAGGGTTCAAATCCCTACTTGGGCACAAAGCTCACTTTGGGCCAGTCGTTGCCTCTGTCAGAAATCCTTGTCTGAAACCCTGAAAAAACAAGGTTGGCTACTGCAGACAATACTGAGAAAGGATGGGCCAGTGGTCTGACTGGATAAGGCAGCTTCCTATGTTCCTATTAGATTAGCCTTGAAGACTATTTTTAAATAGTTTTAAAAAGCAGAAAAGATTAAGACCTCTAGCCTCATCCAGTTTGGGAGTAATTTACAATCTTTCAAAAGGCAGAACATGGTGAAATATGAAAAGCACGCAATTAAAGCTTACATAAAACATTTATATTTTACAGTGACACACCATCAAATCAGAAAACCCATGTGCCAGGAGGGGGAAGGGAAATGTAAAGGATTAAGATGAAAACTGCACAAGAGGGTTCATACAGAAGATCACAGAAAATGGTTGCACTGTAGATGTGAGCAAAAAGATGAAATGTTACCTTCATTGCAGGGGGTTGGACTAGATGGCCCCGGGGAGCTTTTCCGACTCTAAAATTCTATGATTCTATGAATTACTTTAGAATTATATTTTGTCTTAACTTTTTTTGCTATGATTAGGTAATGGAAAAGATTTGCATTGCTATGTCTTGGGATTGCAGCTATAATAGATCCATCAGAAATGATGAAGTGCCTGGAGTCACAGTGGATGATTTGAATGGGAAAGCTGGTCTGATTCCATCGTTCTTTGTCCAAAAGATACTAAGGGGCTATAAAGGGAAGATTAGACAAATTCAAGGATGACGAGTCTCTCAGTGGCTATGCAGAGCATCTGTGTTCAAAGACAGTTCACCAGAGCTGGGGGAAACAATCGGGGAGGGCTGCTTCTTTCATGTCCTGCTCATCAGCTTCTCTGGGGCATCAGGCTATACATACAGTGTTAGGAACAAAGTTCAGGACCACAGAAGACTCGGTGAAGCAGAGCAGGTCTGACATTATAGTGTACATTTCTTCAAAACATTTAACACGACACATTGTAATTGGCGGAACATCACAACCGGGATTGTGGGGGATCTGCCACCCCATAATGTGGTTGTACCCCAACCCCCATTAACCCTAGCCAGCATGGCCAATGGTCAAGTATAATGAGAGATACAGTCCAATAACACCAGATGGCATGCAAATTCCCCATCTCTGTCTTACAGCATTCTCCAAATTCTGTAAGCAGCCATTCCACCTGCTGAGATGGTATGGTCCACCCAATCAGCTTGACTGGGATCACTGCCATTTGGCGCCTCCTCTCCTCAAACTGTCTTCCCCAATGGTCATTCCACTTGGTCATTCCACTTCTGAATAATTAGTGCCTGAATATTAATAGTTCCCTCCTTCCTGATCCCCTTTCCCCCTTTTGTATTGTGCAAATTGTGTTGTGACTGTGCAGGCAGGGGCTGTTTTCTTTGTAAATCTTTGTACAGTGCCTAGAAAACTTTAGGTGCTTTCTAACCAATGACAATAATTTGCAGACGAAGATCACTAGAATGTCTGTATTGTGCGCTTCAATTACCCAGCTTGCAAGTTATATGCTGATGTAATACTCTTGATTATTGTCTTTTCCTCCAGTCTCTTTCTGCCTGTATCGTGGCTCCAGTCACATTAGTCATTCGCATACTGCACGGAACTGACACTTGCTTTCTGTCTTATGTGCATTTTTGTGAAAATAACCAGGCGGTTTCCTGTGTGTTCAGTAAGTGCTCTAAGTTCCTTTAAGGGAAGAACAAGGTATTTGTGTAAACAAAACTGCAGCTGGCTAATTGGAATATACTCTTCTCTTTCTCTCTTAATGAAATAAATCTGTTTCTCCCTGGACAAGAAAAATTAGGGTGTGTTTATCAGATGCTGATCTACATATGCAAATGTGCTGTACACATAATGCTGCAATTTCTTTAGAATCTTTAATTTCAGGCTGGGAGAAGTCAAACATTTCTTGTGTTTATGGGTGCTAGGTGGAAGCACCTAATCTTTACGAACAAAGGCTCACTTCAGTGGACTTTTTCTTTTTAAAAATATTTCAAATCTTCAGGAAAAAAATACAAATCCGGGCCCATACAGGCATTGACTAGGCTGAGGGGAGACTTCCTTTGCTTTGATTCAGCATCTTGCACCTACAATCCCTTCTCTGGGTTCCTAATATACCAGCTGAGCTCATATCCTGTTTTCATACGTCTTGCTCCAAGCCAAGAAAATGTGGTGCTCTTATTCTCTGCTTATGTACTTTGAGCATTATGCAGCTGGGTGCTTCTCTGGGAATACTGCATGCTTTAGATTTACTGGTCTCATCTACTGCTCATGTTGCATATTTACAAAATCAAAGCATCCTGCAGAGCTTCATAAGAAGAGGCCAGAATTTCCCAGAGTTCCTTAATAACATTTTCTTTTCATTATGGCTGGGAAGGTGATGCTATTAAACTTTCCAAAGTGGCACAGGATTTAGAGTTTCAGAATTCCCATAAGTGTTCTACCTTTAGAGTTATAAAAAGCTACTTGTGAGGCCATGAAGTATTTGAGGTCTTATAAAATTTCATAGGCCACCTAGGAGTTGGTTGAAAAGAAATTTTCAAAACATTTACGTAAAATGAAAAAGCTTTGACTAGGTTACTTCTGCCCTTGCGACAAAAATATCTGTGGCTAATATACAGCTCTTGCCACAACCCAGTTAAGCTGATGTAGTAAAAACTGGTCCCAAGTAGCAACTCTGTACATAGGCAAATGTTTCCTATCCTGAGCCAGTACTGTTGAAAGGAATGGGATGTCCAAAAATCTGGTAAGATTTGAACTGACTTGGCTTCAAAAGATTCTGCATACCTGTCCTGTAATTCAGAAAAGCACCATTGGATCTTGATGCCTACCCCTACTTCCGTAGAATAGGAAAAAAGAGCTGTTGTCCAAGTTCCTCATGTGGAGGTTGTCTTGCTCAAGTCCTGCTGAAAGGGATGGGAACTCCCATTCATTTCAACAGCACAGCAGTGCCTGGAGTGGATGAGCTCTGGGAATGAAGACGTCACCCCCACTGACGAATAGGAGGGACACCCAACATCTTTACCAATAAGGATGCATGGGCACCTCTTGGTCAGCAGGCATACACCTGCGTAGCTGTGGACCAATCAGTACTGTCCAATGCAAGTGGTTGATGACCTGCAGCACACAGGGCACTGCTGGAAAGTCGACATACGTGTGTCTGGAGGATGCTTCTTTTATGCACGTATCATCATATTGTGATACCCACTGGTAAAGGCATTAATGCCCAGTCCACCTTGGTCACTTTATGCGGCAATGATGGCATCTCACTTCCCAATGCACGGCATTTCAATAGTCCTCCAAAGCAATATGGTAAAAGGTGAAGGGACCCCTGGATGGTTAAGTCCAGTCAAAGGTGACTACGGGGTTGCGGCACTCATCTCACTTTCAAGCCAAGAGAGCTGGCGTTTGTCCACAGACAGCTTTCAGGGTCATGTGGCCAGCGTGACTAAACCGCTTCTGTCACAACGGAACACCGTGATGGAAACCAGAGCACACAGAAACACCGTTTACCTTCCCACTGCAGTGGTACCTATTTATCTACTTGCACGGGTGTGCTTTTGAACTGCTAGGTTGGCAGGAGCTGGGACTGAGCAACAGGAACTCACCCATCACAGGGATTTGAATCGCCGACCTTCTGATCAGCAAGCCCAAGAGGCGCATACCTGTGTATGGAACCTGTATGGAATGGAATATTCAGTTTCACATCTCCTAAGAGAACTACCAGACCATTTTCTACAGGGGCACCTTGCTCTCTCCCTTCAGAGAAAGATGCCTCGTGTACTTCATGCTGAAGATTATTCTTGTGAAAAAAGGGACAGAATTAAAAAACAGCTTAAAAAATGATGATACAGAGAACTAAAGACTAGATCTGTAGTAAAGCATAACCTTTACATGTAGAAGGTCCCAGGTTTAATCCCTGACATCTCCAAGTGGGGATGGGCATGTTTGAAACCCAGTTAGTGTAGACCATGGGTTCTCAAACTGTGGTCCTTGAGCTTCCTTTAGAACCTCTGTTGTGTGTCTGCAAACAAGCCATTGCACGCCACCCCAATGACCCCAAGATTCCAGAGGTTCCATGTGTTTTCCCAGGGTTTGGCTTCCTTGGAATGGGGGATTGCAGAGATTGTGGTGTCTTTACGATACATGGTTTATTTACACATATATACAACCTGAGCCTATGATGGAGGGGTTCATGGTGTCAACACCCCAGAAGGTCTTTCTCCTTCCATAGTCACAGCCTTGGATTCAAACAGAAATCAAGCATGGCTCTCAATCTCTGGCTTCTGCCTCCTTTTTTTCTTCTAGCCTAGCTTACCCATGCTCAGCTCTGGCCTGTGTCTTTCTCACTACCAGCCAGGTGAGGGAGAGGCACAGAGCAACTTTCAGACTAACGACCATGCTTAGGCCCATTACCAAGATGCTGGTCTGGCTACTTCAACAATTGAATCCTGCAAATTCACAACAATACAATTAGAACTCATATAGAATCTAGCACAGCACATTACAGTGGTTCCACTGGTGGAGCCAGAGGGGAGATTAGCAGTTTTTTTGCAGGACCTGGGGAAAACACAGTAGGAGGCCTGGCTTCGGGACCCAGCATTAAGGATGGGGCTGCTTCCATTCGTAGAGCTCACTGCAAAAACTTCCTGTTCACCTAAAATGTTCAGCTTTGAGGAAAAGGCTGAGGGTGGGGTGTGGGGAGAGAAAGGAAGTTGGCCTTTGCTTCTTTGGCAACCAAACTGAAAAAATAAAACCCTACAACCCAAACAAAGTGGTTGGCAAGCTTACAAGCTAGCAACAGCTGAACTTTGCTGATAAGATTTTCTTTTGATTTCTTATAATTGTTTCCATCAAGCCAATCTCCTGATTAGCTTATTCTCTTTCTATACTTGATGCATCACTAAGATTAGCATCCCTAATTTGCTCCTTACCAGAACAGATTTCAGTTGGAGAACTATAACCTGTCCTTCACAATTCTGAATGTGGCGTAAAACATTCTGAATAAAGTTTGGATGAGGAATGATGGAGCAGGTTTGCTAGTCATCTTTTTATTCCTCTCACTGAAGAGGCATCTTCCTGAGACGGGAAGAGGTAAATAACGCAATAGTTCTTTGGGAAACCAAAATGTCAACCATCATTAATAATCCATACTTTAAAAAGTGCATCTGGTTTGCAGCACATTGTATACGGTGTTATTAATCCTCTTTCTCACGCACTGTAGCCATTGTACAGTAGGATAGCAATGTTTACTTGAGGGAATCTTTGTTTTGAATCTTCGGCGTATCTCCTATTGTTCTGGGAACATCATGAGCTGGAAAGGGTGGATAAAGGCTCCACTGTGCATCTTTCTCAGTAAATAAAATATGCAGGATGTTCATACCGTTTAAAAGGAGATGGAGCATATCTCTGTACTTAATTGCACTGGCTGTATTAAAATATTTTTTCCTATGGCTCATTAGTAAAGCAATGTCTTAATATTAAGTAGAGAACAAAGTGCTTATTGGCTTTATATAATGGGAGAGACTATGTAGATCACATTGAAATTGCCGGATTACACCTGATAACTTTTTAAAGCCTAGCTGTTGCCTGTACACTTGAGAGAATGTAGGAGGATAGGAAGGCATATTGGCCTTAGACACAGTCACATACAGGACACCATTAAGATGCAACTGATGCTGTAGCCCACCCCAAATCCTGGGAAACATCCAGGTAGAATGAGGCCCATGGGGTGGGCTCCAGCAATCATTCAAAAGTCTGAAAAGGTTTTGTGTGCTACAGACATAGGGAGTATTCAGACTGATCCACAAGACTGCTGTTTCAGAATCCCTTACCATGCAGTGAAGCCCCTCCACACATACTATTGTGTGCATGTAAGTTCTCATCAAACCTTTAAACAGGTATTTGTAGGTTGGTAGTGGAATCTGCCCGCCTGGATTTCCATTCATTCTTCCTGAAGTGAATGCCTGAAAAGTTCTAATAGCTTCGATTTTATAGTTAGGAATGAGATACGCTAGGACTTTCTCCCAGGAGGAAATGATATGTATAACAGCAATTACCTGCTGCGGCTGGTAATCCTGTTCCCACAGCTGGCGGAAATTAACACTCTACTCTGGCCTACAGCATGGAGAAATTGCACTCTGCTATCGCCTTCCCCTGCCCTACCCCAAGATAACTTATTGGGCTTTGGGGACAAGGAAAGGGCAAGTTAGTTGGGCTCCACTTTGTGAACATTTGACTTTAATATTGTCCAAACGTCTTCCGAGTATTGGAATTGAAGATTCGCATAAGCCCAAGCCATTGAAAGTGTGTTATATGAATGGTCACAAAGGCTTGGCAGGTGCTCAGACATCACCAAAGTGGCACCCCTCTTCCTTACATAATGCTGGTGACATGAGTCACTGCAGTGTGGCTCTTTCCCGAGTTGTAAAGGCAATGCGAGCAAAGCTCCTTACCTCTCTCGCCCTGACCTAGCCACTGTGATCCACGCGACGGTCACCTCCAGACTGGATTATTGTAATTCGCTCTACGTGGGGCTGGCCTTAAGACTGACCCAGAAACTCCAGCGGGTGCAGAATACCGCAGTGAGACTCCTTGTGGGGTCCTCGCTGCAAGATCACATTCACCCGGTGCTATACCAGCTGCACTAACTCCCAGTGGAGTATAAAGGTAAAGGTACCCCTGACCATTAGGTTCAGTCATGACCGACTCTGGGGTTGCGGTGCTCATCTCGTTCTATGGGCCGAGGGAGCTGGCGTACAGCTTCCGGGTCATATGGCCGCATGACTAAGCCGCTTCTGGCGAACCAGAGCAGCACACAGAAACGCCGTTTACCTTCCCGCCGGAGCGGTACCTATTTATCTACTTGCACTTTGACCTGCTTTCGAACTGTTAGGTTGGCAGGAGCTGGGACTGAGCAACGGGAACTCACCCTGTTGCAGGGATTAGAACTGCCAACCTTCTGATCTGCAAGTCCTAGGCTCTGTGGTTTAACCCACAGCGCCACCTGCATCCCAGTGGAGTATAGGATCAGGTTTAAGGTGCTGGTTTTAACCTTCAAAGCCCTATATGGCCTAGGACCCTCGTACCTACGGGACCGCCTCTCCTGGTATGTACCACAGAGGAACTTACGGTCTTCAAACAAAAACATCTTGAAGGTCCCAGGCCACAGAGAGGTTAGGCTGGCCTCAACCAGAGCCAGGGCTTTTTCGGCTGTAGCTCCGATCTGGTGGAACGCTCTGTCACAAGAGACTAGGGCCCTGCAGGACTTGACATCTTTTCACAGGGCCTGCAAGACAGAGCTGTTCCACCAGGCCTTTGGCCAGGGCACAGCTTGACTCCCTCCTCTGGCAATCCTCACAGAACTTCTAGCCCAATGGTTGCCATTAATTTGATTGGAATTAATTTTATAATGAAAATGATTTTAGAATGTTTTATCATTTTATTGTTGTTAGCCACTCTGAGCCCGGCTTCGGCTTGGGAGGGCGGGGAGAAAATAATAATAATAATAATTATGTGGGAGAGTTGCAGTGTGTTTGCTTCTTATAACAGCAATGTTTCTTTTTCTGGAAGAATGATGCCGTCAAGAAGAGGTCTCTGAATGTGGGCATCCTCTACAAGACCAGAGGTCTTAACTGTGCCTCACGGGGCTCCTGCCTATTCCTTTAAGTGCTCTCCCTGCATATGGTGTTCCCTCTCCAAATTGCCTTTTAAGAACTCTGAAATATCACGTACGGTGGTGTTCATCTGTTAAAATGCATTTTGAACGAAAGTCTTTCAAATGAATGGAAATGCCTGGAGTGTTTTGCCCCTTAATAAGACAAGTGATGTCTGTAGAGACTGAAATGCCCAGGATTTCCATTCTCTTTTATGCAAGAGCTTCTGTAGCACTCAGCACAGTGGTATGAGTATTTAGAGAATTTACCTTAGTTAGCTCCTGGGAAACAACAAATTTTCTCTGCAAAGCATCTATATTTCATTTTTGTTAAAGTATTAATAAGCTAAAATGCTAGCGACACTAGGTTTTATTGAAGCATTCAGAAACTCTCCAGGAGATTAATATACATCCTGAAAGTTCATGCTGGCTGCAAGTTTAGGATGTAAGCATTTTAAATAAAACTTGTTTAGGTGCTGATGTGAAGTTTATGGTTTAATGGCTTTGAAACGCATATCTTGCTGTTAACACATCCATTTAGGGTTTTCCAAGAGGACCTGGAAGGCAATCAGTACATCTTCCACAATACACATTGTCATTCATTACAGAAGTTTTCTGGTCTCTCTGTGCTGTTCCTCTTTTTCAAAAGGGAAAGGGAATTCACTAAAAACAGTATTTTTACCCTGAAAGGATTGTCATTGGGCTGGGCTGGGAATTTTTCAAAAGCTGTGCACTTGAGAACCTACCCAAATGTGGCTATAGCTAACAACATAGGTAGTCTGATCTGGTGTATGGCAGCCATTTGTCCATCCAGCTCCGTATTGCTCACTCCTTGGGCAGGTCCTCAAGCACTGGCCATGTTAGCTGGGGCTGATGGGAGACTAACAACATCTGCAGGGCACACAATGGATATCTCTGGTCTTCCCGGACCAGTAGCATCACTCGTGTCAGGAAGAGGTCTTTCACCTGCTATCTGAGCCTTCTAACTAGAGATAGTGGGGATTTAACCCAAGACTTTCTGCATGCAGTGTGAATGCTATATCACTGAGCTGTGGTTCCACACATTATGCAAGACTCCTTAATCCTGAAATCAAGCCCTATATTGACGGTTGGCATGTGGTGAGCCCAGGTATACGATGCCTAGCAGCAGCTCGCATGCAAGTTCCTCAGATGTACACAAGACCACTGCTGGACCTAAGACTCTCTGCTTCACTGCAGACACTTCTTTTTCTGTATGGCTTGCCATGGCATGGAGATAATCTCCCAAGCCATGCATGAACCCACCAAACACAATGGCTCACCCTGTGACAAGGCCATGCAAAGCTAAACTATGGTACATACTCTCCCAGAAGGCAGTGATGACCACCAGCTTGGATGACTTTAAAAGAGGATTGGACAAATTCATGGAGCAGAAGGCTTTCAGTGTCTGCAGGCCTTGATAGGCAGGTTCTACCTCCATGGTCAGAGGCAGTAATATTTCTGAATACCAGTTACTAGGAACCCAAGGAGGAGAGATTGTTGTGGTGCTCAAGTCCTGCTTGATGGTTAATAATAATAATAATAATAATTTATTATTTATACCCCGGCTTCCAAACAGAATATTAAAATACAATAACCTATTAAACATTAAAAGTTTCCCTAAGCAGGGCTGCCTTCAGATGTCTTTTAAAAGTCTGGTAGTTGTTTTTCTCTTTGACATCTGCTGGGAGGGTGTTCCACATGGCGGGTGCCACTACCGAGAAGGCCCTCTGCCCGGTTCCCTTAACTTAGCTTCTCGCAGCGAGGGACCCGCCAGAAGGCCCTAGGCACTGGACCTCAGCACTGGACCTCACAGGCATCTGTTTGGTCACTGTGAGAGCAGGATGCTGGACTAGATGGATCACTGGCCTGATCCAGCAGGCTCTTCTCATGTTCTTATGAGCAATTAGCACCCACATTAAGTCACCATTGGTGAGAAGCATTTGTGCTGCCACAGTGGGGGCTGTGCATGCAAGCGACTGGAGTTCATACTGTGGTGGGAGCGCAAAGAAACACTGCCACAGCCACACAAATTTTAGTGGCCGGAGAGACAGACTCCACATGGAGATGTTTACACTGGTGGTTCCATGTGAGAGCTGTCAGATCACAGACCCAGTAGCAACTGCTCTCGCACATGGGCTGCTCACCATGTACCCAAGCGTTTTTACCCAAGCGTTTTTCACTGCCTTTCTACGTTTGCCACGGCATGGAGATAATTTCTCAATCTGTGCAAAAAACACCGGACACAAGGCTTCGCCCTGGGACAAACTACAGTTAAATTAGCCTCCAAGTAATGGAATAGGAAGTAGATTACATTCGTGTGTGTCCACACCATGAAGCCCATGGAAAGGATGGGTCAACACTGCAACAATTCCAGTGCAGCCCCATTCCCCCAAAACACTTAACCCTACACATCTGCACATGCAGTTTCACAAAGTCAAGGAAGATCCCAGGCAGGCAATAAATCCCATGCCTTAATAACAACAGCTCCAGATGACTCAGGTATTTGTGCAGAAAAACACAACATTCATTGACTCCCTGAGAGCCACCGTGTATGGCTGGTGGGTTGTGTTTGCTAGATGGATCACAAGTTGTGCAGGGCTGACTTATGCCCTGATTTAAGAGAACTGAACTTTTAAATCAAAGCCACATTCTCTTAAGTATTGCTTCCATGCCAACCGTATTGAAATAAACAGTAGATGCTCAGTGCTTGATGAATTGGTTGCATTCTTTAGAAATATATCTTCTTAAAGTGAACATCAGTCCAGAACTTTTGAGGTTCTTGACGGC